TATGAAAAAAATAAAAAAAGTTATATAAAAAAATCAAGTGTGACAGGAATTTTATTCAGTTTCGAAACTTATTTATTTGAAGTAAATGACAACTAATTTTCTGTTTGTGTCAGATTAACATTTTCTAACACGATATTAAATATAATCAATAGAGCAGTTGCATTATCTCGATGAGATGATTGAATACCTTAACGTGACCATTTTAATTCATCTATCCATTGTGTTAATTTAGATCTATATCTAGACATAGCTTGTCTTTGTGCAGCTCCTTCACGTCTTTTCTGTGACATATTTTGAATAGATGCTGCTGATTGTTTTCGTTTTCTACCAGCACCTGGTCGAAAACCACCATGACCACGATCATCACGATCATCGTCAGTAGTATCAGGATCAAGATCACTATCCATTTTTTTTATTTATAAATAAATAAGAATGATTGGATGAAATGCTATTGGTCAGTGATAGCTAGCGTGTAGAAGTGTATGACAGACAGGTGAAATTGAAAAAAATCCCTAGCAGTGGTGAGTAAAAATCAAGATAAGGGAATCGGCAGTTACATATAAAATAAATAATTATTTATATATGAGTACAGTAACGGACTTTTGAACTAGGGTTAATAGTAGCTGGTGACCCCCTCTACATGACCATATACATATATTATAATAAATATCTTTTATTGCTTAGAAAAAATGAGAAAGAGAAAAAAGTGTCAAAATTGAAAAAAATCAAGTTTTCACCCTGAATTACGGTCCAAAGTACTATAGTTAATCGATGGTGCATGTAATTATATTGTTTTCGTACTTAGATTCATAAAACTAGTGTTAACCAAATATTCGTGTTTTTATGGTAATTCATTGAATTGCAGCTATGATTTATCAACAATTGCATTTACTTATTCTAAAAAGTGAACACAATGAAGAAGAATAAACATTAACTTATGCCATATTTAAATGTATACTTTTTTGGAAATATGATAGAAAGATCATATCAATTTGAAGCTATTTTGATGAATTGAGATAAAGCAAGTATAATTAACGAGGAAGCTTCTCCAACTTTTCGATTACTTTTACCTTGGCTAATCGTTTAATCTTCTTTTTGTATTCTATCAGAAAGATTTTCAAGAATTGCCATAGACTTAATCAAAATTGGTCTGTACCAATCTATATCATAATACATGTTGGAAACAGTACATCAATCCTCAATGTATCAATAATAGTTGCACTTCATTTGATGGAAATATTGTAATCGAAATCTGAAGTCATCGTTAAACAGCTACGTGGATGCTGACGAAATAGTTCATAACGACAATTAAGTACAAATATAGTTTATTGTTTAAGACAAGCATCATCATCTGAAAAAAGGATTGCCTCTCATGAATAATTATCTCAATGTAAGAATGAGATATTAAATTTAAGGTAATTGGTTCCATTTTCATATCGATAAAAAATTAGTCCAATCACTATTGAAGACATACAATTTATGATGAATCTTATGAAAAAATACACAGATAAAACACTTACTATATGTGAGCTTCTAGACATTTCAAGAATTAAATATCAGTCAGAGACTCTTGCCCACCAAGCGATGAAATCAATGTAGCTCTATGAGCTATACGTGATTGTTGTTAGAGATGGCACTTTATTTTTATCAAAATATCAAGATAACAAGCCCTTAGAGGCAGTTAAATTTTGATTTCTCTTTAATGATAATAATCTGTTTTCAAAAGATCAGCTAAAGTATACTGATTGTTTTGTTATAAATAATGATTTTTCACTCTACACGATCTATTTAATTAGATTTAAGACAAGACACATGTGATAGATAATCATTAATTAATAAGCTTGAAAATGAAGATGAGGGAAAAAACAAAAAAATATAGTAACGAGTGGTTTCGGTCTATAATGACTCGTTCGTCACATAACACATTTGATTTAGAAGAAGTTAAATGAAACTAAACAGAACGGAAGAATCAGATTCATGATTAATCTCACTATTTCTGATTTATAAATCCAACATATTTCTACTAGGACACGCTATTTATTTTCCCTTTTCTCATAGCTAAAGTTGCTGAACACCTAATAAAATTAATTATAATTTGAAAATTGTATTCGTTTATTATTGAATATAAAAAAAGAAGCGTTTCTTATTTCAGAAGCAAAACGCACCACCCCAGTTGACACGACAGCGGAATTCAGGACAACATGGTATCTTGCCAGTACAATCAGCACCCTTTGGAAGGCACTCACCAGATGTAGGAGATTTCAATGTCATAGCTTTCGTAGGGTTTATCATTAAGGATATTACGACCAGGCACATAATTAACCATAGAAGAATTTGACGTATCATAGCTAATATCATAAATACCAAGAGAAACTGAAGTGTAAAAACAGCCAGTAAGTCAATAAGCTCATATAGTTTGCTGTTTCATCACATCTGGATACGTTCCCATATTGACTTATATTGATATTGTATTAATAAAGGCTAATCGTATGTCTACTCAGAATGACACAAGACATTTTTCAAAAGGTTTTTAATCCAGTTGAGTTTTGATTTTTTTCGCCTACATATCTTCAAGTCTATATTAATACAAACATTTTTTTTTATGTGCAAAAAACGTACTTCAAGCGATATTCGATGTATAATGAACTAATGAGTCAATTGTTTTTTTCGACGATGACAAGATAAAGAGGAACACTTCTCTCAACACAAATATCTTAGAACATTGGTACGTAATGATGAAATAAAAAAAAAGATGATTACTCCGCGGCGGGGAATCGAACCCCGGTTTCCCGCGTGACAGGCGGGGATACTAACCACTATACTACCGCGGATATTATTCCATCACCATCAACAGTTCCACAATACAAACATTACTTGCTGATGATAAATATTTCAACTACTCTTAGATATAGAATTTCTTTTTTTTTAAGAATAAAAGTAATAACAAGATAGCGCTCATCCTACGGATTTGCTAAGCGTTTTCTTGAAAGATATTTCTGTGCTGTTCAAAAGACTTTTAAACGGAATCGCACGATAGTTTCCGATCCGTATTATCACATCCAGTCACTCGAAGAAACTACGCGTTTTCCATTATTAGAGTTTTCAACTATTCAAGTTTCACCCAACATAGTTATCTCTCAATATGTCTCTCCCTTTACTCCCTCAGTGTCGTTCCCAAGGGGGGAAAAGCAAGACTTTTACTTCCTTGTACTTTTTCGTACTTTACTCGTATTTCTTCGTATACGGTTGCTGAAATATACAGACGTATTGCTGAGCCGCGCAGTACAGAGGGGTATGGTCGTTTACCAGCGTATACGGACTTCATAATCGTCGACCTGTGTGCGCTTACCGATACTTCACTGTACTTCGTCTGTACTTCATCAGTATTTCATCAGTACTTCATCAGTACTTTATTGGTACTTCACCTGTTTAAGAATATTTTTGAAGTACGTGAAGTCTTGCTTTTTCTCTCATTGCTGATACCTTCATATGTACTTCGTCCGTACTTCATTAGTACTTCATCAGTACTTCATCAGTACTTCCTCAGTACTTCACCAGTACTTCCTCAGTAATTCATCTGTACTTCATGCGTACTTCAGAATACCTTTGAAGTAAATGAAGTCTTGCTTTTCCCTCTTGGTCGTTCCTCACTATTGCTAACATCCTCACTGTTGACCACCCTCATCCTGTGTTTAATTGGTTGAAAGTTCGAAGAAGAAGTTTAAAACTCGTAACAACTCTTCGAGTTCTACATGTATGTTTTATTAATAATAGCTTGTTCAATATTTCATTGATGAGTGATATTTTCAAGTTCAACTATAGTTTCGGGGATGTGAGTAAAGAGCATAAATAAACCGACACTCTACGCCCACACCTTCTAGTTGAATAGATACTATATATACAAATATACGTGATAAATGTTCAAAAAGAGTGAACGTTAGGAATGATCACCGAAACGAAACTCACGAACATAGATGATTGAAAATCATTTAGTGATCTTCATACTGGTGATCTCTATTTTGGTGATATGACTTTCGTCGCCATACATATTGATCTTTCTATTATTCGTAACAAGAACTATGTATAGCATCCGTCGAAGGAACTTTAGTTTAACTACTTAGTTTTGATTTGAGCGCAATATTTAGACCTTTTTTTTTCTAGAGAAGAACCTTGTGTGGAAGAACTGGTTTTGATAAATGGAGATGTGTTAGTGGTTGCGTGACTATGAAAATGTTCTCAGCACAATGTTTCGAGAAAGGTTGGAATATTCCATCTCAATCGAACATATATATATATGTAGAGAGTGATCATTTATTACAAGCTAGACGACGATAACTTGTTTATGTGAGTAAGTTAATTCTTTCACATCAGTTTTACACTAACTACCAGAAACAATTCATTCCCTTCGAATACAAACTAGTCCGCTTTTTTTCAGGCACCAGCTTTCAAATCTCTTTTCCAAACATTCTCTTACGCTCTTTTCGCTGATAAAAGACAAGCTTGAATCTGTTAGCATGAAGTTAGTTGTTCGAATACCTTGCAGATGAGCTTTCTTACGTTGAATACACAATATAAGCTTATCACTACATATTCTGTAGGTCATACGAACTCAGTTTTTTTATGCGTTTCTTTCTGACAACAATAAACAACAAATAGCATGTAAAACGAAAAATTTCTTTTAACATCATTTCTGTTCACTATTCAAAAGTAGCTCCTGAGAATATATGTATAGATTCATTTCGATAACAGTTAATTTTGTATGATATTACATGTTCTAAAGAAGTATTCACCCTATCTAGCGAACAAGTTTGATACTTTTGACTGACTTCACATATAGACTTCCGTGGGTACGAAGAAATCTGTTTATTTATTATTAAAATCCTTTTTTTTTCTAAGAACTTTCTACGATTGCTGAAGTGCTCTCCAATGAAAATAGACACAAAATTTCACAATCTACGTTGAGTATAGAACATGAAGACTGAATTTTTACTTATCATTTTTCACTTTTTGGAGCTAATTTTAAGTGAATCAAACATAAACAAATACTTCGCCCAGCACATCGTTACTATTCGTCAGAAGCACTCGTTTTTTACGGTATGATAAATGCTTCAGGTAGTAGTTATTATTCATTTACTCATAACTTTTACTGTCGACATGCAACGTGCAAAAGGCAATAAAGAAAATATACACGTCACTTATTAAACATTTATTTTTGTCGTTCTGTGGATAAGAAGCCTTAATATTAATGGGCTGCTTGAAGTAACATTTTCGCGGAAAAAATCTATGATTCTTTTTCAAATAAAAATTTAATTTATGGTGCTAGAAGAGAGAATATCCGAGAATATAGGTAACTTTTGTTCATACTCAGGCTCGTCAGTCGGCAATCTTTTGATAATCATTCGTTTTT